GTGTCTAATTATTTTGTTAGTGTGCTCTTTATTAGAAATAGTAGAACACGCATACTGCTTTGTTATTACATTCTGTCTATAGTTTCTGTTTATAGTCTATACTGTTTCTACAATAGAGGCAGTGTGGCATTTTGCAGGTAGATGTTATGCCTGTTAGTGTATTAGTTTCTAGTATGCTTTCCTGTGTTCTATGTAGCTACTAGCTAGCCTTGTGTTTAGTTAGCTAGTGTTTAATGCAGTACTTATTACTGCAAAAGTACTAGGTATAGAGGCATTCTCTAAGGTTGTTTTGTACTAGTATTAGTTAAACCTAAGTCTATCTAGGGTATTTCTTAGTTCTAATAATTTATAACAGGTAGCTTTAGTAGGTACATTAGAATTTATTGTGTTGCTTACTTTTATAGGGAATATAGTATCCTTTGTCCTGTTAGGTTTCTAGGTCCTTGCAGGTAATAGCTAACGCAGGGGGGGGCGTGTTTATTCTTTTTTAGCATAGTTTAGGTGTTGTTAGTAGCGTGCATTACTAGTTAAAGCCTTCCCCTTTGTTAAAGATTTTTTTAAACATTTTCTATTATTCTTCTTTATTTATAACTATGTAATGTGTCTTAGCAATTTTTTTTAGTACACTATAAGTTTTAGCGTTGTTGTTAAGGTGTACTTTATACATTAATTTTTTATAGTTTTTTTAACAGTGTGTGTTGCTACATTTTTAGTAGTCTTTATAAGTAAATTAATATTTTAGTTCTTAGGCTAAGATTTTAGTTATTAGTTGTCTTAAAAGAAACTTTTCTTCTCTTTTTTTAACATTTACAATATATGTTGCAGCTTAGGTGTAGCCTTACTATTTTTTATAAGTAGCAGCTTATTTTAGTGCTCTAAAGACTTTATTAGTGTCTTATACCTTAACTTCTTAGTATTTTATTAGGCATTTTTTAGATTTATAGTTATTTCTACATTACTAATAGAGGCGTTTATCTAGCTAGTCTAGGATCTCTTACTCTGTTAGGCCTTATTTTATATGCATTACTTTTATAGTTAGTCTACTATCTTTATTCTCTAGTTATTTAGAGTCTAGGCATTTTTAATAAAAGTAGCCTACCTTTCTGCAGTTAAGGCATGCTTTCTTTTTAAGCTATTTTTTTTATTCCTTATTTAGAGGTGGCCTTACACTTCTAGAGGTATTACTTTTTTTCTTAGAGAAGCTACGCGTGTGTTTAGTGTAACTAAGGTCTATAAGTTTAGTGTTAACCTATAAAGCTTCTTTTTTTTTCTAGAACTAGTTAGGTTTTCTAGTTGTCTAGCTTTTTTTTTTCTTGTTACAGTGTTTAGCGTGTTTTTTATTATAAGTAAGTGCTTTCTTAATGTAATCTTTAAAGTTCTTAGGCTTTTTAGTATAAATAAATTTATCTTTAATAGTGTCTAAGAGCCCTTTATAAAACATCTATTTTATAGCTTTCTTGTCTGTCTATCTGCAAATAGCTAGCAGTTCCCTAAAGCAGGCTGCGTATTGTTAGACAGAGCTGTTGCCTTGTTAGAGAGTGTCTATTCTATTAACTACTTTTTTTTTTTTATTAACTAGCCTATAAATTATAGTTAAGGCTGCTTTAAATAAGTTAATGTTAGTAAAGATCTTTTATGTTTCTAGTAGTAATAGTTTACTACTTGTCTTATAGTTTATCTAATTATTAGTGTAAAGTTAGAACTAGATAGCAGGTAATTCTTCTAAGTGTAGGCTTATTTAAGAAATTATTTTCTTATTTGTTCTAAAGGCGCCTTTATTATATTACATGTAAAGGTGGCATCTAGTAAAGAAAGGTTTTAGGTCTTTAGCAGAGCTGTTAAATGCTTTAGGAGGGGCTAAGCGTAGGGTCTTTTTAGATTTAGTACTAGTTTTTTCTTAAGTAATGTTTCTAAGGTTAGCTACTTCTAGCTGTAGGGCTTAGATTTAGTAAATATTAGAGGGTCCTTGCTGTGCTTAAAGCTAGAGGTGTTGTTTAAGCTGTTTAAGCTTGTTCTATAGGTAGAGTATTTGCTAATTCTGCGCTTCCTTAGTTGCTGTGGGGGTCTAGCCAGTGCTAGCGGCCGAAGCACCTGTCATGCCGATGTCTAAGGTGGTAGTAGCTATACTTTGCAGGGGTAGTGATTACTGTTATAATCCTTACTCTAATAAAATAGTATTTTTAGAGTACGTTAGCCTATATTAGGGTGTTAACAAAAAGGGTAGGACTTAGCTAGATTAGGTGTACAGTCTGTTAAGCAGAGTACAGGGTAGTGCAGGATAGAGGATAGGCAGGCTTGTGGTTTAACCTAGCAGCTGTATAGTAAGCTAGTAAACCTGATCTGTAGGGATAGGAATGGAGGTATATATAGTGCAAGATATACAAGGCAGTAGTGTCCTCTAGGGAGGGGGTCACAGCTTTGCTTAGTTTAAGAGAGGATAAGAGGAGTAGTCCTGTTATAAACTAAATAGTAATTACAACCTTCTAACTATAGTTGTGATTAAGACTATATACATAGAGTTTGCATGCGCTTGCATGCGTTGCAGGTGTTGCATGCATTGCCTGCATCCGCCTGCAATGCCTGCATTGCCTGCAGTGCCTTAGTCCCTATT